GTCCAGTCGTCATCATTCTGCGTCCACATGAGATAGGATTGTTGGTCTAAGTCCTGCTCCTCGATTTCATCTTCTTCGTCGTCGGTGGTGTCTTCGTCAGAGTCGGTCTCGTCAGATGATTCTTCGTTCTCACTTATTGGATTTCTTTGACCGTGGATGAACTTTATGGAAACCTTTCCTTTTTGGTTTTCCCAATCGAAGGTGAGCAACCCTCGTTTGATATCGATATTGGCGTTAATTTTACTAAGGAAGTCCATTCCTACCACAATTGCATAGGTTCGTGCTTCGGTAACGTCGACTTCGACAGGAATTATGATTCCATCTACCGTTATTTGTAAATCGTCGACGGCTCCCAAAGGCTGCTTGGAGTTTCCATTAATATCGGTCATTGAGACGGTGGATTTCCTTTGGATTTTTATACCTTGGCTTTTTAGAAAATGTTGACTTGCCACACAACCAGAAGCGCCAGTGTCAATGATGAGATCGATAACAGATTTTCCCACTCTGGCTTCACACCAAGCGGAAGTTGTTTTTAATCTTTGTCCTAACATTCCGAGCTTTCGTTTGGTGGGTCGTTTATTCATCGGTTTCCTCATCCCCTTGGACATTTTGATTCTTTGGGCTGGGGAGGTTTCAATGAGCTGGGCGATAGTGATGTTGGCTTTCATGCTAGCCAAGTCATCGACGATATCGTATGGAAGGGCGCGAGAGGCAAGAACAGGTAAGACGGCTCTTCCTTTCTTCTTTCGTTTTATTTTTTCTTTTTCTTCAGGTTGTTCTTCTTCATTAATCTGACTAGTATCCGCAGATTCACCAGCTTCGTTAATGCGAGTCCTTTTTCGTTCTCCGGCTAAGTATTCATGTTCCGCTAAGAGGGCTGTTGTATGGGAAGTATTATTTACTCGTTCATTCCCTTGTTTTTGAATTGCCTTTGTTAGTTCTTGTATTTGAGCTAAAAATGTATTCTCTACATTTCTATGATCATCTGTTTGTCCATTGTTCGTTGATCGATTTTCCAAATTCGGACGGTTATTGTTTTGCGGGTTGGGCATTCCATTACTTCGACTACGCCAATTATTTCGATTATTATTATTACTTCCATTGTTGTTCCAGTAATTATCGGACTGAGGGGGCTTGGGGCAGTTAGGCCGAATGTGTCCTAGTTCTCCGCAATTATAACAGTTATTATTATTATTATAATTTGGTCGATTCCAAGTTGAGCGTTGATTATTTCCACTATATGGAGGTCGACGTGTCGTTTCCACTTGTTCCAGTCTTTGAGCCAGTCCTTGTAGAACGGTGGTAATGTCGGTTAAATTGTTCGTTAGGTTACTTTGAGATTGGTGATATCCTCGAGTGGTGTTATCGGCTTCGGCTTTTTCCACATTTCTGGCTACTTCAATCATGTTTGTCAAGGTTCCGTCAGCCGTCACCTGTACCCATTTTCGTATGTCTGGTCGTAGTCCTCTTCGATACGTTCGGTTTCGGTACTCGGCCGGGTAATTATTACCTGGATCGACTTTGCGTAGGAGTTCGTTGAATTTGTCGGTGTACGCATCGACAGTCCCGTCTTGCTGCAACGTCTCCAACTCGTCTTGCCACTGGTCTACTCGTTTTTGAGTTCGGAACTTAAGAGTAAACTGCTCTTTAAAATCATGAGCATCGTGGGGATTATTAGTCCAATCGTTAAGTATGGTTGCGTTGTCCCGGCCTCGTTCATCGAACCACACCGCTGCGGATCCTTCCAAGTAACCTCTTACAATTTGAATTTTTCGTTGGTCGGTTATCCCGTTCGCTCTGGCGGCCACTTCAAAGTCTCGTAGCCACTCGACGGGGTCTTGATCATTTCCTTTGTACTTTCGAATCGGGATGATAATTTTCTCAGCAGCTCGGTTGTTCTGCGCCGTTAGTGCGTTTGTTAGCTGGTTTACAGCATTCAATACGTCGGCTACGTTTGCCATCTCGTCTTCTTCTTCCGATGATAATTCTAAATATTCTTCTTGTTCGATATTTTCAATTTCTTCGTCGGTGATTTCCTTTTCCTCGTTGTTTTCACTAGTTTCTTCGTTGTCGAATATTTTCTCGATAACTTGTTCGGAATTACTTCCTTCGGTCTGTGTTTCGACGTCAACTGTTTCTGAATAACAATCCTCCGAATTGTCTTCGTTCGAGTCTTGACTGAGAGAGACGTTTTGTTCAAAAGTCCGAGTGCTAACGAACCGTTCGTAGGCAGAAGTAATTAATCGTATCTGATCGTCTACAAGTAAATACTCTTGAAATAATATAGTATTTAATAAACGAACTATTCTCTGTCTAATTATGGAGGGATGTACTTCTCCGTAATCGTATGCGATTAGTTCGTGAAAAGTTTGATAGGTGATGTTATTATAAGCGCGGGCACCAGCAGACTCTATCCAAAGCCAGAATCGTCGAAACGGGAGAGTATATTCTTCCGGTTGGGGAAAACAAAAAGGACAATAAGGCTGGAGTTGTAGAGGGACGTCGGCGTTTTCAGGATCGTGTTGTTCAAGATGATCGTTGATTAATTCTCCAGTGAATGTATATACTTCGTTCATTCACTCAGTTGCGTAGCTAATGGATCAAAGGATAATAATATCTTTGCTTTTCACGGAGGTATTTAAAATTTCGTGGGGGAGGGGAAATCCACAGAGGGGGCACCAAAATGTTAGGGCCACTCTTTAATTATGGTAATTAGAGAATGGCGGATAACACAAGTTGTTGAACAAAGACTGAATGATTT